CCATCATTAACAACTGTAATACTTAATTGGTAATCAAGGAACAAAGTCCCTTAAACTCAAGCTCATTATGATCAATATAAATAGTTACACAAAACAAGATAAAATAATTGTTCATTTATTGTTATTCTAGATACTTAAACTCGTCCTAACTTGAGTGTTAGAGTGTCTTTTGTAGATATTCTATCTCTTAGAGTTGTCAGTCAATCAAGGAATTCAGTACTCGATGTCAAAGATTTACCACTCTAACCTCGGACATGTGCATACAAGATCCAAGTCTTTTGGTTTAGTTGCTGATTTCAATCATTAGCTGTCTCAGTTGCTCTCCACTCCAAAACTTAGTAGTCCTTTTAGATTTTTGTTTCGATTCACTCCGACCACTTGCTTAACTAACATGTTGAACTTTTTAACTTCCAAGTTATCTCTGGCGAGGGTCATATACTAAAAGAAAAAAGAAATGTTTCCTATGAAATATTAGCATGAATAAATTATACATAAAGGACATCTCTTTTGTCAAAGACATACTTTTCGGATTTTTTTTATTTTTATTTATATTTTTATTTAGAATGCATAGAAAACAGCTACGTAAATTTTGGTGCAATTGTGCATGCAAGATTTCGTGCAATTCGCTAACCAAACCGGTTGATAAGAATAAGTCTCATACATCACAAATACATGAATTTGAATTTCTATAAGCACTTCTTGGCCGTGGGATCCACTCTCATATGTCTCGAAGTGTTTCTTAACCAGCTCACTTAAACTTCATATAAAAGAAAAATTCGTGCAATTCGTGCGTAAACAGGTTGGTACCATATAGCTATAGCAAGGTTCAATAAATAATCACCCCTATGATATTGGTTATAAAATATTTAATTGATCAACAAAATGCAAACATGCATACCAACCATTTCCTATAAAAGGAAACAAGACGTTAAGACCATTATCCATTTTGGTTGAAACTAAACTCGCCCGTGACTGGACTCATGCATTAATCATAACAAGTTGATACAACAACAAAAGCTAGCAAAGATATCATGTTTGATTAGACTTTCTTCTTGAGCGTTCAGCATGTTTGATAATGTCCTTGCCATTCCTCGATAAGATTTACGATGTTATAATATAATTATTTTAAAAAATAACAAATTTCTTTTTTAATAATAGTTTATGATTGAATAATAATGTGAAAAGTTTTACAAATTTATAAATATATACTTATATTTTTATATTAAAAGTTATAGAAGTTAGAAACTTAAGTCAATAAAGTTATATTAAGTTTTATTATCCATTGTTATTTATAAGATTCAACTTAAAATAATTATTTAATTCGTTATATGGGACTTAATTCATAATACATAATATTTAATGTATTAATTATTTTTAGACTAAAATACTCTTAATTAAAATATGTTATCTTAATTTGATATAATATATTAATTATAGACTATTTAAAAAACATGCGTTCTTAGTAAATAAGAGAGTAAATAATATTAATTATGAGAAGGAAGTAATATAATACACACTCTAATTGATTAAGAGAGAGGTAAGTATTAATTAAGAGAGAAAAGTAATATAAGATAATTTTAACAAAATAATATAAAAATATGAATTTATTATTATTAATTAGATTAATTACTTTTCTTTATTATAATTGTACAGGTAGGGATGTTTGGTCATTCCCACATCGGCCACCGAATGGAAGAATCAGGTAGCCGAACGCCAATCGGCCACCTGAATCAGCCCATCATCACTTAGCACTTAATCTAGGCTTAGGAGATAATTACTTGATTAAACCCTAAACCCTAAACCCTAATACGGTAAATACGCCATAGGGCCCATAAGGCTCAAGGCCCATAAATGTCGGTATAAATAGCTCAGGTCAAAAGGTAACGTCACTGTTCATTAATTACTCTCGATATTTGTGTTTGTCCTGACTTGAGCGTTGGAGTGCCTGTTGCAGGTACATTTGGCGCCCACCGTGGGGCCTGAACGAAGTTGGTTGAAAGTTTGCTGAGAAGAACGATGCCGATAACTAGGAGAACGAACACACAAGACCGTCCAGCGGAAGAACATGTCGAAGTCGTGGATGAAACAGACCTCACCGAAACAGTGCGACTACTCAAGCAAGAAATGGAGCTGATGAAACAACAGAGAGAAAAAGATGCGAGGGAGCTTTCGGCCTTGAGGGCTGAGAATGAAGCGTTGAAGAGTCAGGATACTTCCTGGAAGCCTACTCATATCACCAACACACAAACTCAAGGGTCGTATCAATCTCACGCGGTCCATACATCGGTTCCTCATGCTTCAGCAGTAGCCCCTGAGAGGTTCCCTTCGGCCTTACCTACTGTGGGTCGTCCTGCAGATATAACCACTGTCGGATCACACCGACATCCGTTTACTCCCTCCATTATGCAACTCCCTTTAATGGATAATTGGAAGGCTTTACCTATTGACAAATATGATGGTACCACTGATCCTGATGAACATTTAGATGTTTTTCTGACACAGGTAACTCTGAGTACGACCGATGACGCTGCGTTGTGTCGGATCTTTCCTACGTCCCTCAAAGGCAGAGCTCTCAGCTGGTTCACTCGTCTCCCACCCAATTCAATAGATTCCTTCAACACATTGTCATCACAGTTCACTATCCAATTTGCGACGAGTCGCCCTCATAGTCTAACGTCTTTATCTCTGGTTAGTCTTAGACAGGACAAAAAGGAGTCTCTTCGGGCGTTTATGGATCGGTTCAACAAGGCTACTTTGGAAATCAGAGATCTCAACCCAGCTGTGGCGCTACATCATCTTACAACAGCTTTGAAACCAGACCCATTCGTCAACAGCATCTGTAAAAAGCCTCGTTCGTACATGAACGACTTACGTAGGAGGGCTGATAAGTACATGCAGATGGAGGAGTTGACAGAATTCAGAAATCAGGCCCGAGCCGAGCAGTCTACTAAATCCGAAAAACCGGTAGAACAATCATACAGGGGGAGGGGCAAAGAGATATCCCTTCGGGAGCGGCCTATCCGGGGTCCAAAGTATACTCAGTACACTCCGCTTAATGCCAATCGCGCGGCGGTTCTTGAACAGGCTTTGGCGTCTGAAGTGTTGACAATTCCGAAGAGAGCTTCCACTCCACCACGGGCAGATACTAGCGAATCTTGTCGGTATCATCGAAATCATGGACACTCAACTGATGAATGTGCCGCCCTTAAAGATAAGATTGAAGACTTAATTAAACAAGGAAAACTTCATAACTTTGTAGACCGATCAGGTTCATCCCAGAATCGTTCATATCAACCCAGGTATCAAGATCGACACAGACAAGACCGTTATGATAAAACCTCTGATAGAGTTCGACGTGAAAGAAGCAGGTCGCGCGAAAGAAAAGATGACTCGGCACCTTCGCACAGAAGAGTTATCAATACTATTGCTGGTGGCTTTGCGGGTGGGGGCACAACTTCTTCGGCCCAAAAGAGACATCTCCGAGCTATCCGATCGGTCAACACTGTTCATAGACAGTCATCTCGGCGATTGCCAGCAATAACCTTCACTGATGCTGACTTCAAAGGTATTGACCCAGAGCAAGACGATCCGATGGTCATCAGTGTAGAAATTCATAATTGCATCGTCAAGAAAACATTGATTGATCAGGGCAGTTCGGCAGATATCATATATTGGAACACATTCAAGCAGTTGGGCATTTCTGAAAAAGAATTGCTTCCCTATGACGATCCGTTGGTTGGTTTTGCAGGAGAGAGGGTCAGTACCAAGGGTTACATTAAACTCTTCACACGCTTTTGTTTTGACGAACAGGAAAGCAGAGAAGTTCAGGTAAAATATATTGTGGTGGATGCAAGTACCTCATATAATATCCTCCTCGGCAGACCGTCTTTGAATGCATTGGGAGCTATCGTTTCAACACCACATTTGGCGATGAAGTTTCCATCCGACCAAGGAAAAGTAATCACAATTCATGCTGATCAGAAGGCGGCGAGAGAATGTTATTATGCTAGTTTGAGAGTTTTGCCGTTGGAAGAAAGAAAATCCAAGTCAAACAGAATCCATGCTGTGAACGCTTCGGCAACTGTAGACGAGACCATATGGGATCTTGATCCTAGAATGAATAATGAAGAGAGGGTGGAGCCGATTGAGCCAAAAGTGCAGTTCCAGATAGGTTCATACCCTGAACAGGTTACGTACATCGGTGCCGAAATCTCTGAAGATGATCGCTTGGCCTTATGTAAAGTTATAAAGGAGAATAAAGATCTATTTGCATGGACACCTTCTGACATGCCAGGTGTAGACCCAAAAATCATGTGTCATAAGTTATCAGTATGTGCCGAAGCAAAGCCAATCGCACAGCGTAAAAGAAAAATGGGAACCGAAAGAAAACTCGCAGTTGAAACGGAGGTTGCCAAGTTGCTTGAGGCCGGATTCATCCGGGAGGTCCATTATACCACTTGGCTGGCAAATGTGGTGATGGTCAAAAAGTCGAATGGAAAGTGGAGAATGTGCACTGATTACACAAGTCTCAACAAGGAATGCCCTAAGGATGCCTATACACTTCCAAACATAGATCGATTAGTTGATGGAGCCTCAGGACACGAGATGCTGACTTTTCTTGATGCTTACTCAGGATACAATCAAATTCCCATGCATGCCCGCGACGAGGAAAAGACAGCCTTCATAACTGATTCGGCCAATTACTGCTATCGGGTAATGCCGTTTGGGTTGAAGAATGCAGGGGCAACGTATCAAAGATTGATGAATAAAGTGTTTCAACATCAAATAGGCAAGAATGTGGAGGTATACGTGGATGACATGGTTGTAAAATCCAGAAACGTTGATCGGCATGTAATGGATCTTTCGGAAATTTTCCAACAGTTGCGCAAGTACGAAATGAGGCTCAATCCGGAGAAATGCGTGTTTGGGGTGTCCGGAGGAAAGTTCCTCGGCTTCATGCTTTCGGTTAGGGGAATCGTAAATGTATGACAATCGTCAACATGATCAGCCCTAGGAACCTTAAACAAGTTCAACAGCTAGCAGGTCGACTTACAGCGTTGTCCCGATTTCTCCCGTGTTTAGCTGAAATAACGAAACCTGTGGTGAGATTGTTGAGAAAAGCAAACAAGTTCGAATGGTCCGATGAATGCGAGAAGGCTTTTCAGACTTTAAAGGAACGCCTCGGTTCCCCACCAGTCCTTTCTAAGCCCGATCCAGAAGTACCAATTGTGGTTTACTTGTGTGTGTCAAATGATACAATAAGCACAGTTCTAATTCAAGAAAAGGAGGGACAGCAGCCCATTTACTTCGTCAGCCGTATGTTACAAGAGGCCGAAACAAGGTACCAGCTCTTGGAAAAAGTGGCACTAGGGCTGGTTCACACTGCTCGGCGTCTTCGGCAATATTTTCAGAGTCACCAAATTATTGTTCGAACCGATTGCCCAATAGCTAAAGTACTACGTAAACCTGAGTTGGCAGGAAGGATGATGGCTTGGTCTATTGAGTTATCGGAGTTCGACATTTGTTTCCAACCGAGAGGACCAATCAAGTCTCAATGTTTGGTGGACTTCATCAATGAGTTGCAGCCGAGGGGTTGTTTCGTCAACGATTTATGGACAATACATGTGGATGGTTCCTCCAACAATCAAGGCAGTGGAGCAGGTATAATTTTGGAGGGACCAACAGGATTAATCCTAGAGCAATCATTACGATTCGAGTTCAAGGCTTCAAATAATCAGGCCGAATACGAAGCATTACTGGCTGGTTTAAGGCTTGCACGAGAAATTGGTGTAAACCGACTGGAATGTTGGACCGATTCAAAAGTTGTAGCCGAACAAGTGAATGATAATTTTCAGGTCAAGGATGCAAACTTGTTAAAATACTACCATTTGTTTCAACAAATGTGTGGTACGTTTGAAGAAGTTTACGTAAAGCATACATCAAGAGAACACAACGCGAGGGCGGACCAGTTGGCTCGGTTGGCAAGCAGTACCAGAAAACCTGGACAGCTAAGAACCACACTTCACTTGGATCTTGAAACGCCAAGTGTGGTAGCTGCTGAATGTTTGGTAGTAGAGGGGTCTGTTCGTACATGGATCACTGAGATAATGGATTATCTTGAGCATGGTACCCTACCATCTCACCCAACGGCGGCTAAAAAGCTCCGAACGCAGGCCGCTAGATATGTTGTGATTGGAGGAGATTTGTATAGAAGAGGATTCTCGGCTCCGTTGCTGAAATGTGTCGAGGCAGAACAAGCTAATTACATATTGAGAGAGATGCATGAGGGGATATGTGGTTTCCACTCGGGAGGACGGACTTTAGCGACTAAAGTGCTTCGGGCCGGATACTACTGGCCTACTCTCAGGGAAGATTGTGTAAAGTTTGTAAAGCATTGTGTATCGTGTCAGCGGCATGGTAACCTTATCCACGCTTCGGCTGAAGAACTTCATGGCATCAGTTCACCTTGGCCATTCGCAATGTGGGGGATGGATATTCTTGGACCTTTCCCAATCGCCAAGGGTCAGTGCAAATTTTTGTTGGTTGCTGTAGATTACTTCACGAAATGGGTAGAGGCCGAGCCGCTTGCCAATATCACAGCAGCCAATGTTCAAAAGTTTTTATGGAAAAACATCATTACCCGTTTTGGCATTCCATATGCACTTGTTAGTGACAATGGTTTGCAGTTCACCGATCAAAAACTTAATCGGTTCATTCATGATCTCGGTATCAAACACAGGTTCACCTCGGTCGAACACCCGTCAACTGATGAATGTGCGGCCCTTAAAGATAAGATTGAAGACTTGATTAAGCAAGGAAAACTGCATAACTTTGTGGACCGATCAGGTTCATCCCAGAATCGTTCATATCAACCCAGGTATCAAGATCGGCACAGGCAAGACCGTTCTGATAAAACCTCTGATAGAGTTCGACGTGAAAGAAGCAGGTCGCGCGAAAGAAAAGATGACTCGGCACCTTCGCATAGGAGGGTTATCAATACTATTGCTGGTGGCTTTGCGGGCGGGGGCACAACTTCTTCGGCCCAAAAGAGACATCTCCGAGCTATCCGATCGGTCAACACTGTTCATAGACAGTCATCTCGGCGATTGCCAGCAATAACCTTCACTGATGCTGACTTCAAAGGCATTGACCCAGAGCAAGACGATCCGATGGTCATCAGTGTAGAAATTCACAATTGCATCGTCAAGAAAACATTGATTGATCAGGGCAGTTCGGCAGATATCATATATTGGAACACATTCAAGCTGTTGGGCATTTCCGAAAAAGAATTGCTTCCCTATGACGATCCGTTGGTTGGTTTTGCAGGAGAGAGGGTCAGTACCAAAGGTTACATTAAACTCTTCACACGCTTTTGTTTTGACGAACAGGAAAGCAGAGAAGTTCAGGTAAAATATATTGTGGTGGATGTAAGTACCTCATATAATATCCTCCTTGGCAGACCGTCTTTGAATGCACTGGGAGCTATCGTTTCAACACCACATTTGGCGATGAAGTTTTGTCAAGGACAACCTCAAGTGCAACATAAGAAATTAGACGAAACATTGGTCAAAGATCAGAAGAAAGTCAACTATGCATCAGATGAAGGACAACACAGACTGAAAAGTATTATAGACGGAAACAAAACCTGTCCATCTACAATGTTGACTAGACGAAAAGAAAGTCAAAGCATCAACGTCATACACTCAAGATGAAGGTTAAGACTTGAGATGCACATGGACTACCAAACATAGACGAAGATTGTCAGGCAAGCTCTTAAAGAATCATGTCTCAAAGGACAAATCAAGCATCATCTACAATTATATAAATGCTCTCAACATAATGGTGTGATTAAAGGAAGAGAAGAAGAAGAAGAAAAAAAAGCACTCAAAAGTAAAAGCATGCATGTGTCAGAAAAAGTACATTACTTTTTCAGATAAGATAATGTTCTGAAGCTACGATGACCGGAAAAGGACAAAAAGGTTCCTAGGTCTTTGCTAAACTCAGACACAGCTGCTAACATGGCAAAGAAGACTTCACGCAATGTCTATAAATAGAAAGCAACATTTAATGCGAGATCAAACTAATCATGAATAACTACATCCACTTCAAAGGACACTTGCAACGGGCAAATTTTACAAGACTATATATATATCACGACTTCAAACCTTGAAAGGTTGGCTTTTGGAAAAAGATGAGCGAAGAGTGATATCAAGCCCACGAAGCAATGAAACTAGAGATAGAGCGTGTAGAGTCAAATGTACCATAGTGTATTTATCTCTGTAGACTAAAGAGTTCTAAGTGTAACATAGGAACATGAACCTTAGTGAGTGTATTCATCTTTGTATTCTCTTTGTGAGAGTAAACCACACACTCAATCCTTGTAAAACTAAGGTTGTAAACCTTAGTGAGTGTAAAAACATATGTATCCTCTCTGTGAGAGTAAACCAAACACTCAAACCAAAAACTATCATTTGTAATTTGTAAAGCCTGAAGAGGCTAGGGAAAACCATAAGTACAGGCAAAATGAAGAACAGAGCATGTGCAACTTCCCACACCAGAACCAAGACAAAGGGTAAAGAACTATAAGGCATCAAATGAAGAGATGAAGTGAAGCCAAGCCCAGCACAAGAAGGAAACCAATGAAGCCTCAGAAGATACAAGACCAAAGACAATGGATGAGGACAAGACGAAGAATATGGAAAAGCGTCTAAAGTCCACAAAGATCATAGAGGAAGACCTGTCAAGTACACCAAGACGAAATCTAGATAAGAAAACGATTGAAGCTCAAGCCATGCAAGAAGAATTTGTTCCAATACCAAAGCATAAAACAATCACTAGTACAACATGGATGTACCGAAGCAAATTGGATGAGTAAGGAAATGTCACAAGGGATAAAGCAAGTGGTCTTGATAAAGTTCGAACAAAAAGACAAAGATCAACCAAAGCACTAGACAATAAGAAGAAACATTCCAATACAAAATTAACGATCTTTCATCGTTACAAACATCGGACTAAAACAAATGATAGATGGAATACGACGTGTGCATCATCAAATAATAAATCCAGAATTACAAGAAGAAGAGTCAAGACAAAGCAATGCTTCAAGCATCAGTCAAATATGAGTAAAGAGAAAGCACAACACAGAAGTTAAGATAAGCAAAGCAAGTATAAGAATGAAATCCAATCCAAGCTATCGAATATACAAAAATAAGGCGTCTACAAGTTGAAGATTAAAGTATCAAGAAAAAGGCCAAAACAAGGTTAAATCTAGAACAAAGCATAAATGGGCTAAGCATACATGAAGTCTGCACGAGCATCATCAGATGAAGCCAAATGGTCAATCAGATGGAGATGAATCAAAGCAAGGCACACCACGAGGATCATACAAACCAAGTCATATGAATAGATAAAGTATGACATGTGCGCCAGACAACTGTGAACCAAATGTCAGACAAGGATGTGTCAAGGACAACCTCAATTGCAATCTAATAAATTAGACGAAGCATTGGTCAAAGAACAGAAGGAAGTTAACTATGCGTCAAACGAAGGACAGCGCAGATTGAAAGGAACTCTAGACGGAAACGAAATCTGTCCACCTACAAGTTGACAAGACCTAGAAAAGAGTCAAAGCATCAAGTCAAAAGCTCAGACGAAGGTCAAGTTTTGAGATGCATAGAACTAATAGACGAAGACGAAAACTACCATGAAAGCATTTAAGGAATTATGTCTCCAAGGACAACTCAGGCATCGTCTACAATCACATAAGTACTCTCAACGTAATAGTGTGATTAAAGGAAGAAAAGAAGAACAAGAAACGCACGCAAAAGTAAAAGCATGCATGTGTCAGAATAAGTACATTACTTTTTCAGAAAAGGACAACGCCCTACAGCTATGTGACCAGAAAAGGACAAAAAGGTTCCTAGGTTTCTGCTAAATTCAGACACGACTACTAACAAGGCAAAAAAAAATACAGGCAATGTCCATGAACAGGAAGTAACATTTAATGCAAGGATCTACGCATTAAAAGAAAAGATCAAACTAGTCATAAACGAATGTATCTACTTCAACGGACACTTGCAACAGGAAGATTCTACAAGACTATATATATCACTACCTTAAACCTTGAAAGGTTGGCTTTTCGAATACGAACAAAAATGATATCAAGCCCTTATAACAACGAAGCCAGAGACAAAGCATATAGAGTGAAATGTACCTTACTGTATTCCTCTCTGTAGACTAAGGAGTTCTAAATGTAACTTAGGAATGTGAACCTTAGGGAGTGTAATAAGTTTATGTATCCTCTCCGTGAGAGTAAACCACACTCAATAGTTGCAAAAACTAAGGATGCAAACCTTAGTGAGTGTATCAACCCGCGTATCCTCTCTATGCGAGTAACCTAAACACTAAAACCAAACTTGCCTAGTTGATATTTGTAAAGCCTAAAGAGGTTAGGGAAAGAATACTTGTAAAGCCTGGAGAGGTTAGTCAAAGAATACTCACTGCTAGCCAAAAGTGGCTGATAAGAATATACTAGCGTCGACAAGTAAAGTTGATGGGCCAAGAGGTGGTCGAGAATACTCACTACTAGCCAGAAGTGGCTGATAAAAAATACTAGCGCTGGTGAGTGAAGCTGGTAGACCAGGAGTTGTCGAGAATACTTGGGAACCAGAAGTGGTTTAAGAATACTAGAGATGGTGAGTGAAGCTAACCAACCAGGCGTGGTTGAGAATACTCGTGACTAGGAGTGGTCGTGACCTGGATGGTCTGTAATACTCATTACTAGCCTGAAGAGGCTGATAAGAAAATACTAGCGCTGATGAGTGAAGCTGGTAGGTCAGGAGTGGTCGAGAATACACAGGTCCAAGAGTGGATGATAATACTCAATGCTAGCATAAAAAGGCTAATAAAAAAATACTAGCATTGATGAGTGAAGTCAACGGGCCAGAAGTGGTCGACAATACTTTTGTACTGAATTGCATATTTAGTGGATCCCTTTAGTTGAAGGAGACTGGATGTAGCTCGGTCTGAGTGAACTAGTATAAAATAACTTGCACTGCTAATTCCTATGCCTCAGACGCATATCTTCATTACTGGTGAAATCTTTGTGAAAAACTTCGTCCACCCCGAATCTCTTAGTGAAATCATTTTTCAGACGCAGCCGCAAACTTTGTTTAATATATATTTAATACACTGAAGAGTTTTATCTACTACTTATCTTTAAATGAAACTATCTTGAAAAGGAAAATGCAAGAACTTTAATCATTATTATTATATGAAACATTTTCCTTCAGCAGACGATAAATCTTTCAGACGCAATGACCTTGTGTTAAGCAAATTCTGCATAACTGTCTGGTATCTAAAAGTGCATTGGACGAAGAACATTATTCTTGCGAAAATGGTTTAAAATTCCTTCTTACACACACACACATATTCAACCCCCCCTTCTATGTGTTTCATGTCTAACTTCAATTCCCAGTAAGGTTTTGAATGAGACAAATATAATACATGTTGTTATTTCTAACAAGTGTGTTAGTGTTTCAGAAAAATATAAGTACAAGCAAAATGAAGAACGAAGCATGTGCAACTTCCCAAACCAGAACTAAGACAAAGGGTAAAAGCTACAAGGCATCAGATGAAGAGATCAAACGAAACCAAGCCCAACACAAGAAGGAAAATAATGAAGCCTCAGATGATACAAGATCACAGACAATGGATATACATAAGACGAAAAGAAAAATCAAAGTCTACCTCTCAGACTGAGACTTAAATTCCAGACGCAGACAAAGAATATTGAAAAATGTCTAAAGTCCACTAAGTCACAACGAGAAACATTGCTTATCATCCATACTCTTAGAAGAACACATGAAGTCATCAAAAACAGAAGAAGAGAGAAGAAAAATGGACTAGCGCGTATCCACAAGTCAAAGCTACATGTGTCAAAGCAAGTACAACTACCATTCAGTAAAAGACAACATCCTCATAGCTATAATGCCAAGAAAAGTACAGATATACCTAGGTTATGATTAAAGTCAGACTTAGAAGTGAACAAACAGTACAAAAGACTTCAAGTAACACAGATTTGGCAAGCAAACATTTAATGCAAAATTAAATGCATTAAATACAAGATCTACGAAGCCTGGACAAACTAAACAAGAAAATCATATGAGGGTTAGTCAAGCAGCAAGACTAGGTCTGATCAAAAGATAGAAGAACATTCAACAAATACTAGACGAGGCCTACTACAAGTCGAAACCTTGAAGTATTAGACGAAAATCCAAAACAAAGCTAAATCTAGAACAAGACAAAAATGGGTTAAACATCAGATGAAGCCCAATGGTCAACTTAGATGAAGAATAGTCAAGGCAAGGCACATCATGAGAATCAGACAAACCAAGCCAACTGAATATATAAAGTATGATATGTGTGCCAGACGACTATGAGTCTAAATATCAGACGAAGGTATGTCAAGGACAACCTCAAGTGCAACATAAGAAATTAGACGAAACATTGGTCAAAGATCAGAAGAAAGTCAACTATGCATCAGATGAAGGACAACACAGACTGAAAAGTATTATAGACGGAAACAAAACCTGTCCATCTACAATGTTGACTAGACGAAAAGAAAGTCAAAGCATCAACGTCATACACTCAAGATGAAGGTTAAGACTTGAGATGCACATGGACTACCAAACATAGACGAAGATTGTCAGGCAAGCTCTTAAAGAATCATGTCTCAAAGGACAAATCAAGCATCATCTACAATTATATAAATGCTCTCAACATAATGGTGTGATTAAAGGAAGAGAAGAAGAAGAAGAAAAAAAAGCACTCAAAAGTAAAAGCATGCATGTGTCAGAAAAAGTACATTACTTTTTCAGATAAGATAATGTTCTGAAGCTACGATGACCGGAAAAGGACAAAAAGGTTCCTAGGTCTTTGCTAAACTCAGACACAGCTGCTAACATGGCAAAGAAGACTTCCTGACTTTTCTTGATGCTTACTCGGGATACAATCAAATTCCCATGCATGCCCGCGATGAGGAAAAGACAACCTTCATAACCGATTCGGCTAATTACTGCTATCGGGTAATGCCGTTTGGGTTGAAGAATGCAGGGGCAACGTACCAAAGGTTGATGAATAAAGTGTTTCAACATCAAATAGGCAAGAATGTGGAGGTATACGTGGATGACATGGTTGTAAAATCCAGAAACGTTGATCGGCATGTAATGGATCTTTCGGAAATTTTCCAACAGTTGCGCAAGTACGAAATGAGGCTCAATCCGGAGAAATGCGTGTTTGGGGTGTCCGGAGGAAAGTTCCTCGGCTTCATGCTTTCGGTTAGGGGAATTGAAGCAAATCCTGATAAATGTATGGCAATCGTCAACATGCATGATAAGCCCTAGGACCCTTAAACAAGTTCAACAGCTAGCAGGTCGGCTTACAGCGTTGTCCCGATTTCTCCCGTGTTTAGCTGAAATAACAAAACCTGTGGTGAGATTGTTGAGAAAAGCAAACAAGTTTGAATGGTCCGATGAATGCGAGAAGGCTTTTCAGACTTTAAAGGAACGCCTCGGTTCCCCACCAGTCCTTTCTAAGCCCGATCCAGAAGTACCAATTGTGGTTTACTTGTGTGTGTCAAATGATACAATAAGCACAGTTCTAATTCAAGAAAAGGAGGGACAGCAGCCCATTTACTTCGTCAGCCGTATGTTACAAGAGGCCGAGACAAGGTACCAGCTCTTGGAAAAAGTGGCACTAGGGCTGGTTCACACCGCTCGGCGCCTCCGGCAATATTTTCAGAGTCACCAAATTATTGTTCGAACCGATTGCCCAATAGCTAAAGTACTACGTAAACCTGAGTTGGCAGGAAGGATGATGGCTTGGTCTATTGAGTTATCGGAGTTCGACATTTGTTTCCAACCTAGAGGACCAATCAAGTCTCAATGCTTGGTGGACTTTATCAATGAGTTGCAGCCGAGGGGTTGTTTTGTCAACGATTTATGGACGATACATGTGGATGGTTCCTCCAACAATCAAGGCAGTGGAGCAGGTATAATTTTGGAGGGACCAACAGGATTAATCCTAGAGCAATCATTACGATTTGCGTTCAAGGCTTCAAATAATCAGGCCGAATACGAAGCATTATTGGCTGGTTTAAGGCTTGCACGAGAAATTGGTGTAAACCGACTGGAGTGTTGGACCGATTCGAAAGTTGTAGCCGAACAAGTGAATGATAATTTTCAGGTCAAAGATGCAAACTTGTTGAAATACTACCATTTGTTTCAACAAATGCGCGATACGTTCGAAGAAGTTTACGTAAAGCATACACCAAGAGAACACAACGCGAGGGCGGACCAGTTGGCTCGGTTGGCAAGCAGTACCAGAAAACCTAGACAGCTACGAACCACACTTCACTTGGATCTTGAAACGCCAAGTGTGGTAGCTGCTGAATGTTTGGTAGTAGAGGGGTCTGTTCGTACATGGATCACCGAGATAATAGATTATCTTGAGCATGGTACCCTACCATCTGACCCAACGGTGGCTAAAAAGCTCCGAACGCAGGCCGCTAGATATGTCGTGATTGGAGGAGACTTGTATAGAAGAGGATTCTCGGCTCCGTTGCTGAAATGCGTCGATGCAGAACAAGCTAATTACATATTGAGAGAGATGCATGAAGGGATATGTGGTTTCCATTCGGGAGGACGGACTTTAGCAACTAAAGTGCTTCGGGCCGGATACTACTGGCCTACTCTCAGGGAAGATTGTGTAAAGTTTGTAAAGCATTGTGTATCGTGTCAGCGGCACGGTAACCTTATCCATGCCTCGGCTGAAGAACTTCATGGCATCAGTTCACCTTGGCCATTCGCAATGTGGGGGATGGATATTCTTGGACCCTTCCCAATCGCCAAGGGTCAGTGCAAATTTTTGTTGGTTGCAGTAGATTATTTCACGAAATGGGTAGAGGTCGAGCCGCTTGCCAATATCACAGCAGCCAATGTTCAAAAGTTTTTATGGAAAAACATCATTACCCGTTTTGGCATTCCATATGCACTTGTCACTGACAATGGTTTGCAGTTCACCGATCAAAAACTTAATCGGTTCATTCAGGATCTCGGTATCAAACACAGGTTCACCTCGGTCGAACACCCGCAAGCCAATGGACAAGCCGAAGCAGCAAACAAAGTAATCCTTGGAGAATTAAAGAAACGATTGGGGGACGCTAAAGGAGCTTGGGCAGAGGAGTTATTAGAAGTTTTATGGGCGTACCGGTGTACACCTCAATCCACAACTAAAGAAACACCCTTTCGGCTTACGTATGGCACAGATGCCATGGTACCTGTTGAGGTGGGCGAACCGTCTTTTCGGCGACAATATTTTCAAGAAAACACTAATGATATTTCTCTTCGAGCTGAAGTTGATATGGTCGATGAAGTACGTGTTCGAGCCGAAATCATAGCAGAAGCTTGCAAGCAGAGGATGACTCGTAGGTTTAACTCCAATCTTATCAAGAGAAGTTTCAAGGAGGGCGACTTAGTATGGAGAGTGCAAGGAACGACAAGACGCAATTCAAAAGAAGGCAAGTTGGCCGCTAATTGGGATGGCCCTTTTCGGGTCCGACACAGTTTAGAAAATGGGGCATACAAATTGGAAGAACTTTCGGGCAAGATCATTCCCAGAACATGGAACGCTTCTCATCTGAAGACATATTATAGCTAGTATACATTGTAAAAAGACTTTGTGTAAACAGCGGGTGTACTCTTTTCCTTAATCGGTCTTTTCTCCCCTTATAAAAAAGTGAAAAGGGGTTTTGGCCGATAAGGTTTTTAACGAGGCACCCAGTAATAAAATTTCATCAGTTCTTCCATTCTATTGTTAGTTTATCAATTCCTAACGGCTGAAAAATCTCGCAACAGGCTTCCCTCCCGAGTTGTTCAACTCGGCCAAGGACGTGCCTTGAAAAATCTCGCAACAGGCTTCCCTCCCGAGTTGTTCAACTCGGCCAAGGACGTGCCTTGAAAAATCTCGCAACAGGCTTCCCTCCCGAGTTGTTCAACTCGGCCAAGGACGTGCCTTGAAAAATCTCGCAACAGGCTTCCCTCCCGAGTTGTTCAACTCGGCCAAGGACGTGCCTTGAAAAATCTCGCAACAGGCTTCCCTCCCGAGTTGTTCAACTCGGCCAAGGACGTGCCTTGAAAAATCTCGCAACAGGCTTCCCTCCCGAGTTGTTCAACTCGGCCAAGGACGCGCCTTAAAAAATATCGCAACAGGCTTCCCTCCCGAGTTGTTCAACTCGGCCAAGGACGCGCCTTAAAAAATATCGCAACAGGTTTCCCTCCCGAGTTGTGCAACTCGGTCAAGGATGCGCCTTAAAAAATCTTGAAACAGGTTTCCCTCCCGAGTTGTCCAATTCGGCCAAGGATGCGCCTTGAAAAAATCTTGTAACACGCTTTCCGCACAAAGTACAAACTGAAGCATATCAGTTCGGTTTTATTCAAAAAAGTGTTACTAGCCGAAGCATATCAGTTCGGTTTGACCAAAAATGAGTTTTAAGCCGAAGCAAATCAGTTCGGTTTTATCAAAAAAGCTGTACAAACCGAAGCATATCCGTTCGGTTTGACCAAAAATGAGTTTTAAACCGAAGCAAATCAGTTCGGTTTTATCAAAAAAGTTCTACAAACCGAAGCATATCAGTTCGGTTTGACCAAAAATGAGTTTTAAACCGAAGCAAATCAGTTCGGTTTTATCAAAAAAGTTCTACAAACCGAAGCATATCAGTTCGGTTTGACCAAAAATGAGTTTTAAACCGAAGCAAATCAGTTCGGTTTTATCAAAAAAGTTCTACAAACCGAAGCATATCAGTTCGGTTTGACCAAAAATGAGTTTTAAACCGAAGCAAATCAGTTCGGTTTTATCAAAAAAGCTGTACAAACCGAAGCATATTAGTTCGGTTTTATTCAAAAAAGTGTTACAAACCGAAGCATATCAGTTCGGTTTGACCAAAGATGAGTTGTAAACCGAAGCAAATCAGTTCGTTTTTATCAAAAAAGCTGTACAAACCGAAGCATATCAGTTCGGTTTGACCAAAAATGAGTTGTAAACCGAAGCAAATCAGTTCGTTTTTATCAAAAAAGTTCTACAAACCGAAGCATATCAGTTCGGTTTTATTTAAAGAACATATTTCGGGTATATATCTCTTTGGTTTATTAACGCGCAATTCGAAACAAACTCGTTCAGTTTTATACGCACACAAAGGGTTACCCTTTCGGTTCTAGATACGAATGCAAGTGGTAAATCTATTCGGCTTTGTGTAAGAATTCAAAAAGTGTATCTTTTTAGTATTTGTTAATAATTAGCGAATAATAATTCAAGGCAAATTGCTTAAGAAAAACGATTTCATTCAAAAGAAGAAGGCTCTATCGGCCTTCAAATTACAAACAAAGCATTTCTATTATAAAAGAAAAATAATTACTCTTCCGGCGTTCGGGTGGACTCAACTCCCATAACGGTATCGGGATTTTCCTCGGTATCGTTAGTAGGGACTGGATTTTCCTCATCCAGCGTATCTTCTTCGGAGCTCTCGACACAATCTTCCACTTGGGGGGCAGTGTTAGGATTATCATCATCCAGTTCGGCTCCTTCAGGCATATCGGCAAAAGACATCAAGGACCCTTGATAGAAGTCCTGAGTCATGTCAAACTCAAAACCTTCTTCAAATTGACCGAAATGCTTAGCCTGGCGAACGGCCTGTTTGAATCCAGCCTCATGTTGAGCAATGATTTTTTCTTTAGCTTGCTCTTTGAGGGTGTCATATGCAGCCTCAGCCTCCTCCAGTCGGCGATGCCCTTCATTAGTTATTTTTTGAAGTTCCAGACGAAGGGTATCATTATCACACCGAACAGCATCTAACTCGGCAGCAAGATCCCTATTCTTAGCAGTCACCACTTCTTTGAATGAAATCGCTTCGGCTGCAGTTCTTTCGGCCTCTTCAAGATTTTGTTTCAAAGTTTGGACCTCGCCGAGAGGTTCCATGGCAAGGTGATGAGCCAGAGCTAAAGAGTGTGTCTGTACCTCGCAAAATAATCTCCATTTTGTTCTCACATCCAAAGATGATAAAAATTCTTGCCCAAATGGAGAGACAAGATCAGACCGAATCACCGATTCGGAGGGAGTATCCTCGCTCAGAAATGACCGAGACATCAATGGAGGAGGCACCACAATAATGGTTCGGTTCGGAGAAGATTCAGGCATTGATTTAGTCTTCTTGGATCGCTCCGGGTGATCGTCAGAGCCCTTCCTTTTCTTGTGTTCTCGGGCGACTTCCTTCCCCTTTTTGCCCTTCTTTTTGCGCTCCGGAGGAGGGGGCAATCGGTTATCAGTGTTGGGACGGGGGGAAGATGCAACAGCCGAAGTGCCGATTTCCCCCGACTGCCGAGCCTCCTTCACTCTTGCAGCAAGAAGATGTCGAATATTCAGGTCATCAGCACCACTCTTAGTCATGATTCCTGCAAGAAAAATTAAGTAAACATCAATAGGAATTATGATGATAAAGGTGAGAGGACAGACAGCATACCAATTAGGTCGGCCCACCAACGAGGAGACACTATCAAATTGATAAGCGACCTAGTTGGCAAACGCCGAGGAAGGCGCATTAATAATTTTAAGTCTATTCGTTCCTCGGCTGTCAGCATCTTTTTCGGCACTACATCGTATGGCCGAGGGGTACGGGTCCAGTATAAAGGGAATAGGCTCTTCCCATCATCATCAAAAAAGAAGCGTCGCCCGTTCGGCCGTATGGTCACTCGGAAAAATCCGGCCTTGAAATTCTTATACGATGAGGACGTGCCTTGAAAAATCTCGCAAAAGGCTTCCCTCCCGAGTTGTTCAACTCGGCCAAGGATGTGCCTTGAAAAATCTCGCAACAAGCTCCCCTCCCGAGTTGTTCAACTCGGCATTGTCAAGAAAGCATCATAAATCCGAATGACTCTTTTCGGATTTGTCAGAAAACATCACAAATCCGAACGAACCCGTTCGGACTTGTCAAGAAAATAGCACAAATCCGAATGCACCCGTTCGGACTTGTCAAAAAAGCAAGCAATTCCGAATGCACCCAATCGGAATTGCTCGAAAAGCAAGCAATTCCGAATGCACCCAATCGGAATTGCTCGAAAAGCAAGCAATTCCGAATGCACCCAATCGGAATTGCTCGAAAAGCAAGCAATTCCGAATGCACCCAATCGGAATTGCTCGAAAAGCAAGCAATTCCGAATGCACCCAATCGGAATTGCTCGAAAAGCAAGCAATTCCGAATGCACCCAATCGGAATTGCTTAAAAAACGAGCAATTCCGATTGGATGCATTCGGCATCGCTCAAAAAGCAAGTAATTCCGAATGAACCCGTTCGGAATTACTCAAAAAAGCAGGCAATTCCGAATGAATCTCTTCGGAATTGCTCAAAAAGCATGTAATTCCACACAAGTGTTCTCTTAGTTTTGATCAAGTCAAGTTTTACAATTTAATCGGTTCAATCTGTTGGTAACATATATTTGTCGGCTTAGAACATTAGACACTCATGCAGATTGGTAGCAATTCAAGATGACACGTTTCAAAAGCGAAAATATTAATTCATTCAAAAGTTAAATGGAGGCTCTATCGGCCCCCTTGCTACCTGATTATAAAGTCCTAACACTACTCATTGGGGTTGCTCACTGGGTCATCCTGAGCTGGGGCCTCCGTTTCCTCCTCAGGACGGGGATTGGCAACTTCTTCATCTTCCTCGTCAGATGAAGTATGAACATCTGTGGCTTGGGGGGCATCAAACGGCTCCTCGTCGTCCGGATTCGCCCCTTCGGGCATATCAGCAAATGACACGAGAGATCCTTGGTAAAAATCTTGAGTCATGTCGAACTCAAAATCCTCAGGAAATTGGGCGAAGTGCTTGGCCTGCCGAACGACATGCTTAAACCCGGCCTCATGTTGAGCAACAATCTTCTCTTTTGCTTGCTCTTTAAGATTGTCATATGCAGCTTGAGCTTCCTCCATTCGGCGACGATTCTCGTTGGCTGCTTTCTGGAGGTCCAGACGAAGAGTATCGTTGTCTCGCCGAGCAGCATCCAGCTCAGCTGCCAGCTCCCGGTTCTTAACTAATATTTGTTCATTAGCCGCCATCGCCTCGGCCGCAAGCTTCTCGGCTTCCTCCACACTTCGCTTCAAATGCTCCACCTCGCCGACAGGCTCCATGGCTAGATGATGGGCTAAGGCCAATGAACGAGTTTGTACCTCGCAAAAAAGCCTCCACTTGACCTTTGTGTCCAAAGTGGCCAGAAATTCCTGTCCGAATGGAGACACCATATCAGGCCGAATTACTGTCTCGGCCGGAGCGTCATCACTCAGAAAGGCTCGAGACATCAGCGGTGGCGGTACCACAATCACAGTTCGGTTAGGCGAAGCTATAGGCGTAGATTTGGCCTTTTTAGCTTGCTCTTGACGTTCCTCGACGTTCTTCCTTTTTACATGCTCCCGACCGGAATCTTTCCCTTTCTTTTCTTTCTTCTTCTTGCGTTCGGGTTGAGGAGGCAATCGGTCATCATTGGCCGGTCGAGGGGAGCGTGCAATGGTAGAAGTCCCCTCCCCTCCGGATTGCCGAACTTGCTTCACCCGAGCAGCAAGCAAATGACGAATATCCAGCTCGTTAGCACCACTGGTAACCATGATTCCTG